TTCATAAATGTCTTCTTTTTAAAAGTGTCTGTTCATGTCCTTCACTCACTTTTGAATGGGTTTGTTTCTATTTTTCTTGTAAATCTGTTTTAGTTCTTTGTAGATTCTGGATATTAGCCCTTTGTCAGATGGGTAGATTGCAAAAATTTTTCCCCATTTTGTTGGTTGCCAATTCACTCTAATGATTGTTTCTTTTGCTGTACAGAAGCTCTGGAGTCTATTTAGGTCCCATTTGTCTATTTTGCCTTTTTTTGCCAATGCTTTTGGTGTTTTAGTCATGAAGTTCTTGCCTATGCCTATGTCCTGAATGGTTTTGCCTAGGTTTTTTTCTTGGGTTTTGATGGTATTAGGTCTTATGTTTAAGTCTTTAATCCATCTGGAATTAATTTTACCATAAAGTGTCAGGAAGGGGTCCAGTTTCTGTTTTCTGCAAACTGCTAGCCAGTTTTCACAATACTGTTTATTAAACAGGGAATCCTTTCCCTATTGCTTGTTTTTGTCAGGTTTGTCAAAGGTCATGGTTGTAGATGTGTGGCATTGCCTCCGAGGTCTCTGTTTGGTGTATCACATTTATTGACTTGCATATATTAAGCCATTGCATTCCTGGCATGAAACTCACCTGATCATGATGAATTATATATTTTATATGCTGTTGGATTTGGGTAGCTAGTATTTTGTTAGGGATTTTAACATATGTGTTCATCAGGGATATTGGTCTGTAGTTTTTTATTTTTTGTTTTGTTTTGTTTTGTTTTGTTTTTGTTTTCTTGTTATGTCCTTTCCTTGTTTGGTATTAGGATGATACTGGCTTCATAGAATTATTTATGGAGGATTCTCTATTTCTATCTCTCTTTTTCTTTACTTATTTATTTTTTATTTATTTTTGAGAGGGAGTATCACTCTGCCACCCAGTCACCCAGGCTGTAGTGCAGTGGCACAATCTCTGCTCACTGAAATCAATCTCTGCTCACTGATATCTCCGCCTTTCAGGTTGACGCAATTCTTTTGCCCTAACCTCCGATATAGCTGGGATTATAAGCACCCACCACCACGCCCAACTAATTTTTGTGTTTTTGGTGGAGACAGGGTTTTACTATCTTGGCCAGACTGGTCTCAAACTGTTTATTTATTTATTTATTTATTTATTTTTGAGATGTAGTTTTGCTCTGTCACCAGGCTGGAGTGAAGTGGTACAATCTGTGCTCACTGCAGTGTCCACCTCCCATGTTCAAGTGTTTCTTCTGCCTCAGCCTCTCCAGTAGCTGAGATTACAGGTGTGCAACACTGCACCCAGCTAATTTTTTGTACTTTTAGTGAGGACAGGTTTCACCATGTTGGCTGGGATGGTCTTGATCTCCTGAACTTGTGATCTGCCTGTCATGTTCTTGCAAAGTGCTGGAATTACAGGTGTGAGCCACTGTGCCGGCCTCAAACTTTTGACCTCAAGTAATCCACCTGCCTTGGCTTCCCAAAGTACTGGGATTACAGGTGTGAGCCACTGTGCCCAGCTTGCTCTTTCTCTAGTTTTTGGAATAGTGTCAGTGGGATTGATACCAATTCCTTCTTTGAATGTCTGGCAGAATTCAGCTGTGAATCCATCTGGTCCTGGAGTCTTTTTGTGGGTAATTTTTTATTATAGTTTCAAGCTCACTGCTTGTTATCGCTCTATTTAGAGTGTCTAATTCTTCCTGATTTAAGGTAGTTTTACAGGAATATAAATATATTTTATATTTTACAAGAATATAAATTCCTGTATATTTTCAGGAATTTATCTATCTCCTCTAGGTTTTATATTCTATGCCCATAAAGATGTTCATAGTAGCCTTAAATGATCTTTTGTATTTCAGTGGTGTTGGTTGTAATATCTCCTATTTTCATTGGATCTTCACTATTCGTTTTTTGGTTGCTAATTTTATTTATCTTTCAAAGAACCAACTTTGTATTTCATGTATCTTTTGTATTTTTCTTTGTTTGTTTCCATTTCATTTATGTTTGCTCTTATGTTTGTTATTTTCTTTCTTCTGCTGTGTTTGGGTTTGGCTTTTCTTTTTTCTCTAGTTCCTTGTGGTGTAACCTTAGATTGTCTATTTGTGTTCAACAAAGCAAACAAAAACATGAAGCGGGGAAAGGTTACCCTATTCAACAAATGGTGTGGGGATAATTGGCAAACCACATATAGGAGAACGAAACTGGAACCTCTTCTCTCATCTAATACAAAAATCAACCAACGATGATAAAGGACTTAAATCTAAAACCTAAAACTATAAAAATTCTAGAAGATAACATGGGAAAAACCCTTCCAGACATTAACTTAAGCAAGGATTTCATGACTAAGAATCCAAAAGCAAATGCAATAAAAACAAAGATAAATAGCTGGGACTTAAACCAAAGAGCTTTTGAATGGCAAAAAGAACACTCAGCAAAGTAAACAGACAAATCATAGAGTGAGTGAAAATCTTCACAACCTATACATCCAACAAAGGATTATTATCCAGAATCTACAAGGAACTCAACCAAAGTAGCTAGAAAAAAAAATCCCATCAAAAAGAGGACTAAGGATATGAATAGACAATTCTCAAAAGAAGATATATAAATGGCCAACAAACATGAAAAAATGTTCAACACCACTAATCATCAGGGAAATACAAATAAAAACCATAATGCAATACCACATTACTACCTCAAGAATGGCCATAATCAAAAAATCAAAATGTAGTCATTGGTGGGGATGTGGTGAAAAGGAAATACTTCTACACTGCTTGTGGGAATGTAAAGTAGTACAACCATTATGGAAAACTGTGTGGAAATTCCTTAAAGAATTAAAAGTAGAACTCTCATTTGATCCAGCAATCCCACTGCTGGATATCTACCTAGAGGAAAAGAAGTCATTATACAAAAAAAAAAAAAAAGATACTTGCACATTCATGCTTATAGCAGCACAATTTACAATTGCAAAAATATGGAACCAACCCAAATGCCCATCAGTCAATGAGTGGATAAAGAGGCTGTGGTGTGTTTATGTGTGTGTGTGTGTGTGTGTGTGTATTCCTTTTTATGACTGAGTAGTATTCCAACATGCATACATGCATATGCATTGTATGAGTAGTTAGAATACTGCTCAGCCATAAAAAGGAATAAATTAATGGCATTCATGGCAAACTGGATGGGATTGGAGACTATTCTAAATGAAGTAAAAGTAACTCAGGAATGGAAAACCAAACATTCCATGTTCTCACTCATAAGTGGGAGCTGAGCTATGAGGATGCAAAGGAGTAAGAATGATACAATGAAATTTGGGGACTCAGGGAAACAGTCAGAAGTGGGTGAAAGATAAAAGGCTACAAATTAGGTTCTATATATACTGCTCAGGTGATACGTGCACAAAAATCTCACAAATCACAAAAAAAGAACTTACTCATGTAATCAAGTACCACCTGTTCCTCAAAAACCTATGGGAAAGAAAAAATCGCAATATTTTATCTGCAGTAGGATTGGGTCAATGAACATTACAATAATTTTGTAGTACATATATTTTATATGACAACATATAATTTTAATTACTTATTAGTGCTAGTTTTACCTGTGTGTAATTTATTCAGAAGTACTTCTGTTATATTAATCATTTAATGAATATAGAATAAAAGTGATCTGAGAAAAGAACTGAAGAAATAATACTGAACAATTATTGTCCTATAGAAAATTATAAAATCACTTTCCATCCTTCAGGTAATAAATATGTTATTCTGAAAACTGTACACTTAAGACATATTCAGTACTGATTCATATTTTTTACTCTTATCTATATTTCTAAGTTGTATAAGACAGTAAAAAATTCACTTGCTTATTGAAAGAATTCTAGAACCTGAATTTATGCATTCAATTTAAATATAGAATTAAAAAGTGAAGAATATCATCTTTTTCAAAACTGACTTCTAATTTTATTACATTATGAAATAGTATAGTATAGTATAGTATATGGTGTTCTTAGAGTTCAGTGTTTTTTCTGATAACTCATTGAAATAAAACTAAACCTACAGAATTCTGAATTAAAACTTTTAATTTGATAGCTATTGTCTAAATAAATCCACACAAATGTGTTTTTTTAATAGGTTCTTGAAAGTTCACTGACATTTTTATTAAAGCATATATACTGAACCATTTGTATCCTACATGTTTAGAGAAAGGTATGGAAAATTCTCATGATGTAGTTAGTCTCTGTCTACCGCAAAATAGGTAAAGCATAGTCTAAGAGCAGCTTGGTGTATTAATCTATTCTTGCACTGCTATAAAGAAATACCTGAGACTGGGTAATTTATAAAGAAAAGTTGTTTAATTGGCTCATTGTTCTACAGATTGTGCAGGAACCATAGTGGCTTTTGCTTATGGGAGACCTCAGGAAACTTAAAATCATGGTGGAAGGAAAAGGGAAGGCAGACACGTCTTATAGGGCAGGAGCAGGTCCAAGAGAGAGTAGGGAGGTGCCACCCACTTAAACAACTAAGACCTTGAGAACTCCATTACCAGAACAGCACCAAAGGGGAAAGTTCACCCTCATGATCTCATCACCTTTCACTAGGCACCACCTTCAACATTGGAGATTACAATTAAACATGTGATTAGGATGGGGACGCAGATCCAAACTGTATCACTTGGACATGAGTAGAGTTCTTTGGTTACTGGTAACTGGAGGTAGACCTGGTAGTCTTCTGAGCATCCCAAGAGAAAAGCTTACTGTTTAAATTGGGCAAATCTGACTAGAAATAATGTATATCTGGTGGATATAACATTGAATTAAAGAGCTCTAAAAATCTATATTGATGAAAATTATTTGAAGATTTCTGTAGCATTCTAATTACACAACAACAATTATTTGAACGCTCACTTCCCATTATTTTAAGGTACATTGTGTCTTTTTTTTTCCAAAAAAAACTATCATGGGTTTATTTTTTTAATGTTTCTTTTCTTTCCTTCTTTCTTTTCCTTTCTTTTTTATTTTTCAGATGACCCGAGAACAATACATACTAGCAACACAACAGAATAACCTGCCAAGGACAGAAAATGCACAGCTTTACCCAGTGGGAATTTATGGATGGCGAAAGAGGTGCTTATACTTCTTTGTCCTTCTGCTGTTGGTTACCATGATAGTTAACTTAGCCATGACAATATGGATATTGAAAGTTATGAATTTCACTGTGGTAAGTACCACTATGATTTTACATCTATTGCTTTTGGTTCAAAGACAATCTAGCTCTGTTATTTTAATTTTTTAATCAAAAGTTATTCATATCAGTCTTTACAAGAGTGTGTTTTTAAATTTCAAAGACAATCATATTTTAAGACTACATTCGGTTTGTATAGTCCTAACATGCATATGCTATGACTACCTGGCATTTAATTGTGAGGAATTTACCTGACGAGACAACATAGTACATTGATTCATCATAAAGTTTGAAGAACATTTACCCAGTAAGTATTAACTATTTCTTGCTGTGGCTTAAAATCTAAGAAACGAGCCTGCTTTTAGAGGTGATATTTCATATTAAAATTAATATTAATATTATAAATTACATGTGCCTTTGAATTACTTCATATAATATATATGCTTCTGTATCTCTATATCTGCTTTCCATATCATGCACTGCATGACTGAATCTAAGAGTCTGGAATTTCTCCTGAACTACATTGGCTAATGCCTATAATTGCCATCAGATGGTGACCCCATTGTTTCACAGCACATCCCTCATAAATGGAAGATAAACCAGAAATTAAATGACTTTTTTTTTTTTTTTTTTTTTTGGAGACGGAGTTTCGCTCTTGTTACCCAGGCTGGAGTGCAATGGCACGATCTCGGCTCACCGCAACCTCCGCCTCCTGGGTTCAAGCAATTCTCCAGCCTCAGCCTCCAGAGTAGCTGGGATTACAGGCATGCACCACCATGCCCAGCTAATGTTTTGTATTTTTAGTAGAGTTGAGGTTACACCATGTTGACCAGGACGGTCTCGATCTCTTGACGTCATGATCCACCCGCCTCGGCCTCCCAAAGTGCTGGGATTATAGGCGTGAATCACCACGCCCAGCCCAAATTAAATAACTCTTTTACAAAAATAACTAATTACAAAATAATTGTGTAATGTATTAATGAAATTTGCTGCCATTTAATGAAAGTTTACAAGAAATCAATGAGTATGACTTATCTGGGAAAGTTTTATGGTTTTAGCAAAGTCTAGTTTAGCTCATTTTATATTTTCTGGCTGATTCCTTCAGTTTTTCTACTCTGCTTTTAAACCATTCTGCCTTTGTTTGAAAACCTCAGATATCTATACATACAAGCAAGTGTCTTTCACTTGGTGACCAGACTACTGTTATTCTATAGAACTCTGCATCCTCAGGAGTGAGTCTAAAGCTGGCTATTTTAACTTCACTGATATTCCTATATTGGGGTGTTTACGTTTGCTTGTTTGTTTTTTAAACCTCACTGGCTATTGCTTTAGCAAGAATTGTCCCTTTTTGACTTCACTAACACCTAATTCTAACTTGGAAACCGAATCGCAAAAGGGAAAATGAGCCTACCTTCAGCTCATGTTGTAAGGCACCACAATTATTTGTATAAGGAGCCTGGGAGGGCAGGTGGCCTGACCTTCCAGAGAGGAAACAGTGTCACTCTGCACATCAAAATAAAACAGCATGTACTCACGAAGGAAAATGAGCTATGGTTTCATTTTTTTTTCCAGTAAATTATTTTGAAGAATATTCATCAAAGAAAGATGAGCAGGAATCAATATTTTCCCAGAGTTAAAAAATAATAACTGTTTGCTAAACATGGATATGTGTTCCAGGTCAGAAATCAAGGTATGAGGCCTCTTGTGGGTGGCTAGACATTGAGGTGAAGAATAATAAGCACATTCTTGAATAGGAGATTCTCTAGGAATGCATCTGAATCATTTCTTTGTCTAAGAGTTGGCCCACTTTGCTGTCTCATTAGGGAATATTTTGGCATAAACATCAACAACTTTAGCCATCATGTTTCTGTTCTTCTCAGCTCTGCTCCTTACCTTCTCTGACTACTGTCTGGGTGTGTTTCAGGAGTCATTTATCACATGGTAGGAGCAATGTTTATGCTCCTGCAGATTCTTTTGTGCTGCTATAGATAGCAACCCGACTATCAGTTACTGAAAACATTTTCAGCCTCATTTTTAACTAAAAATTAATATTATAAAAGAGATAAGTAGTATTCTCCAAATTTTGAAATTTCAGCAATATGATTTTCGCTATGAAAAGACATCTTTCAAAAGCTTGTGAATGGGGGGACCAACTCTCACTTCAGGGATCATTGATTATATCCAATGACTAGACCACAGGAATTTTCAGGTTCAAGTCATGTAAGTTTTTCAGGCATATTTAAATTAATTAGGAAAATAGGCTTAAATGCATAATTACATGGCTACATGCATCACACTCCCAATACGTTGTCCCATGCTGACACCAAGGCTGGATAAGTCATCCAAGGGAAATAATTGAAACAGTCACCTATGTCCTGAGGATCTTCATGGGCCTCAGGGTTCCTATCACCCATGGCGCTATCTAATTTGAACCTCAGCTGGCCAGAATGTAAATTATAATGCAACATAGTCCTAGGGATAATTAAAAGGGGTTGTTTCCATAGGAATGTTGGTATTTATTTATTTATCATATTTTCCTTTGAGGTATGTCTTTTTAGAAATTATGATTTGACCTTTTTATAATCAGAAGGCAAACACCTTCCTTCAGCCACAAAAAAACTATTTGCATGTAACTGAAGTAAAATGCACAGATGAAGTTTTCAGGAGTGTATCACCATGATCTTTGTAAAGTAACACACTCTCTAGCTCAATGTAGTCATTCATAGTTGTTTAGAAAAAATTCAGAATTTCTTAAGTAGGTGCAAACTTTAGCAGTCCCGAGTACTACAGATTAGGTTGTATATACTTGAAGGTTGTGAAATAATTTGTAGTTCTCTTCCAACAGAGCAATAAAATAAAATCAATTTTATGTTTTTAATAGTGCATTATGTTTGTTTCTATATAGTGAATACCAAAGACTAGTTGCCATACTATTGCAATAAGTAGAAAGTCATGTGTCAATTGTTTGGGGAGTACTACTGATCTGCACAAAATGTATTTCACTTTCATTATAACTATTGCCATCCAACACAGAGAAATATGTGGCTGTTAACGTCTTTTATTTGAGCAAACTGGGGACATTATTTTTATCAAAATATTATATTTTTAGCATAGCAAGGATAGCTGCCAACGTGTTTTATGATGCTTGTTGGAGTCCATCAGTATGACTGGTATTGTATGTGATGTGCATGATTGATATGCCCTTGATTTTTTGGAAACAATTTGTGTTTTTTATTTTGTACAAAATAAAATTATTCCACTTATTGAGATACTCAGTTGTAGAGAACCAAAAAAAAAAAAAAAAAAAAAAAAAAAAAAGAAACAAATGACTTTATACTATAGGATGAAAGATTTAGGATAGAAATAAATAATTTCCTAGCTATCTGGCTATGAAAGCAGATAAATATAGGTAAGAGTTGAAGAGGGAAACTTTGAAACTTCATTTTGCTGAGATCAGTATAACCCATTTCCCTGTATTCAGTTGCTATTTGGTTGATTACTGTAATATCTTTGCGGTTAGCATAAATAGACGAGTCTAGCAGGTCTATCAAATCCAGGAATTTTGCTGAGGCAGTATTCTTTTCTAGTCTCAAGACTCATTCTAAGTAAGTTAGCTCTATATTGGAGAATAGAAGATTGATACAATAATAAAATACTGATTTTGAGAACAAAAAACCAACTAAGGGTTGGTGGCCTCTGGCTGATATAATTCTGTTAGACATGCTAACTAGCCAGTAAAAAAAAGGAAGGGAAATATAAATAATATTAATAAGCAAATGGGGAGAGCAAATTCATGAATGCCATGACTTAGAAGTCAAGAATACTCAGACATGGGTAATAATTGAAGCAATCGATTAATTGGAAAAATTGGGAAAATAATTCTCAGATGCTTGCATGATCAGTGGGATGAAAGTTGGCTAAAAGAAAATCCCAAGAAAATAACTGAATATCACACTCATTTTGGATTGAAAGGGAATTGGTAGAACAATGATCTGTATATTACAAGAGGTCACTTTAATTTACTCCATTTGGTCACTTGCCATCTGCTTAAATGCTCCTTTCATTGATAAGAAAATCATCCCATGAAGTCACTGTATAGTTTTAATATTTCAAATATGTTTTAAATTTTATTAATTTTTAATTTTTGAGGGTACATAGTAGGAGTATATATTTATAGGGTACATAATGTATTTTGATAAAGGCTTACGATGTATAATAATCACATTAGGGTAAATGGGGTATCTTTTGTCTCAAGCATTTATCTTCTGTGTTACAAACAATCCAATTATACTATTTTTGTTATTTTAAAATGTACAGTAAGTTATTGTTGACTTTAGTCACCCTTTATGCTATCTTGAGTTGGAAAGAATTGATGGCAGGGACTACCAGCAATCCCAAGTGTCCTATTGCTGGTTAAGACCTCATAAGCACAGGAGATGCTCCCCTGATCTATGCAATGATATTTATTAAATTGGAAAACACAGTTTGGGGCTCAGAACACCAGGTTTCATAATTCTCAGCAGACCCTGCATTTAGACCCCACACATAGCAGTGGTATGACAGCTGTCATCACTGACACTATTTATTATGAAATATTTCATCCTACAAAAGAAAAAACAAACTTTACCAATATCTTCTAACTTTATGTAGATAGCCACAATCCTGAATGCTTTCCCTGCTTTTATGTGGTTTCATGTATGTGCATATTTGCTTGTATAAAATTAATCCATTATATTGTTTTTAATACACGATATATTATCCCTGTGCATCTGCAATTCATTTATTTACTGCTATAAATTTCATTGAATGAACAAATCTTATTTATTTCTTCTCCTAAGTTGTTTCCAGTGTATTTTTTAAAAATAATTTATTTTAACTTAGGTGCATACTATATCTGGCATTTCTCCCCATGTTATTCCTCCCCACCCCCCCCTCCCCCCCCCCCCCCATTGTCTCTCCCCTACCCCCCCCAACTGTCCCCTGTGTGTGATGCTCCTCTCCCTGAGTTCATGTGTTCTCGTTGTTCAACACCCACC